TACTTATCAGCGATCCATGATGCAACTTGTGAAAATTACTTACTTTATCATCGATGCTATTTGTAGAATATGTTTTTTGTAAAAGAAGCATTTTAATTGGGCTTGTACATGGAAGGTAAAGACAAAAACGGAGATAATACATAATATATACACCAGTAATGAAGAAATATTGTTTTGCTTTACAGAACACACTTTAATACAAGTATTTAAATAACAAATTCTTCGTAGCTCAGATTATACATGAAGACACACAGCAACTGTAAAATTGATTAGAACGGTTACTTAGCTAACAGTAAGTAATTGTATTTATCAAATTCGTATTGGTAAGACAAATATTGCTATACTGTACAAATTAAACGACAAAAACTTTTATTAATTATTTCAAAGCTTAAAAAAAAAGTTTAAATTTTGATACGGATTATGAATAACGGGAAAATGTCTTGTAAAAAATATCATGATCGTGCAAATCTACAACCCAGTATTGTAGCACCCTCTATTTTTTTCTGTTCAGATTCGACAGAGTATATTCTGTTTTGTCCTCATCATATTTGTCTTTATTTCTCACACGTCTCACTACAATGATTCCTATAATTAATAGGACTAAAGCCACCACTACTGGCAAAACAACCTGTACTAAAATCTTTTTGTCCGCTTTAGAAGGTAAAGTCTGCATTGAATCTAAAAATAAAAAGTGTAGTGATTATCTAAAAAGAACATGTGGGTTTACATTAAGTAAAGAAGACAACTTTTAAAAGTATCATTTGACGCATACTACATCGCAATCACAAACATTCACTTGATAAAATATACATCACTATCACAAGTACTACATCGCCACCACAAACAATCACTTGACAAGTACTACATCGCCATCACAAACAATCACTTGACAAGGACTTCATCGCCATCACAAACAATCACTTGACAAGTTCTACATCGCCACCAAAAACGATCACTTGACAAGTACTACATCGCCATCACAAACAATCACTTGACAAGGACTTCATCGCCATCACAAACAATCACTTGACAAGGACTTCATCGCCATCACAAACAATCACTTGACAAGTACTTCATCGCCATCACAAACAATCACTTGACAAGGAATTTATCCCCTTCATTCATCGCCATCACAAACAATCACTTGACAAGGACTTCATCGCCATCACAAAAAATCACTTGACAAGTACTTCATCGCCATCACAAACAATCACTTGACAAGGATTTCATCGCCATCAAAAACAATCTCTTGACAAGTACTACATCACCATCACAAACAATCTCTTGACAAGTACTTCATCGCCATCACAGACAATCACTTGACAAGGAATTCACCATCACAAAAAATCACTTGACAAGGACTTCATCGCCATCACAAACAATCACTTGACAAGGACTTCATCGCCATCACAAACAATCTCTTGACAAGTACTTCATCGCCATCACAAACAATCACTTGACAAGGACTTCATCCCCTTCACAAACAATCACTTGACAAGTACTTCATCGCCATCACAAACAATCAGTTGACAAGGACTTCATCCCCTTCACAAACAATCACTTGAAAAGTACTTCATCGCCATCACAAACAATCACTTGACAAGGACTTCATCCCCTTCACAAACAATCACTTGACAAGTACTTCATCGCCATCACAAACAATCACTTGACAAGGACTTCATCCCCTTCACAAACAATCACTTGACAAGTACTACATCCCCTTCACAAACAATCACTTGACAAGATCTTCATCGCCATCACAAACAATCACTTGACAAGGACTTCATCCCCTTCACAAACAATCACTTGACAAGTACTTCATCCCCTTCACAAACAATCACTTGACAAGAACTTCATCGCCATCACAAACAATCACTTGACAAGTACTACATCCCCTTCACAAACAATCACTTGACAAGATCTTCATCGCCATCACAAACAATCACTTGACAAGGACTTCATCCCCTTCACAAACAATCACTTGACAAGTACTACATCCCCTTCACAAACAATCACTTGACAAGATCTTCATCGCCATCACAAACAATCACTTGACAAGGACTTCATCCCCTTCACAAACAATCACTTGACAAGTACTTCGTCCCCTTCACAAACAATCACTTGACAAGTACTTCATCGCCTTCACAAACAATCACTTGACAAGTACTTCATCGCCATCACAAACAATCACTTGACAAGATCTTCATCGCCATCACAAACAATCACTTGACAAGATCTTCATCGCCATCACAATCACTTGACAAGGACTTCATCGCCATCAATAACAATCACTTGACAAGGACTTCATCCCCTTCACAAACAATCACTTGACAAGTACTTCATCGCCTTCACAAACAATCACTTGACAAGTACTTCATCGCCTTCACAAACAATCACTTGACAAGTACTTCATCGCCATCACAAACAATCACTTGACAAGTACTTCATCGCCATCACAAACAATCACTTGACAAGGACTTCATCCCCTTCACAAACAATCACTTGACAAGTACTTCATCGCCATCACAAACAATCACTAGAGAGTTCTACAGTAGTGAGGCGATTTACCATTTGACGATTTAAGCAGTACAATGAAATTATTTTCGATCGAAGGGGTGCGTACACCCTCTTCGTCACCCCATCCCCCTTAAGCCGTCACTTGAAATTGGGTTGATGTACATGTACATGCATTATGTATATTTGTTAAAGGAGGAATGCTTTGATTGTTGCTCTTTATCATGACAATTAATCACTGAAAGATAAAATATGGACAGAAAAACCAAAGAAAATATTTTAAGTTCCAAATGAAGCAAGTCAGGTATGTAAATATGGTCTGAAACATTTCTTGTAATGATTGAGATTTTTCAAGAAACTCTTGGATACATTTTGTTTTAATTCACCAGAATAATTCATTTCATAGTTTCGTAAAACAGAATATTTGTGTCTGGTCGATGCTATGACAGTTTATTTATTTTCTTCCCTTTGGATTCAGAATATTTTTTTCTCTCAAAAAACCATACCCCCCTTCAAGTTTAATGCGAAATTTTGTGTTGCCATTCAATAATCTCTGAATACATACCCGGTCCTAAACATGCTGATGTTATTAACTCCCAATCACCCTCATTGTCACAGTTCAGTAGTGAAGTCCCATTTAAGGTAAAGCGGTCATCACAAAATAGTTCAGCATTCCGCCCACTAATTTTCCACTTCCCATTATCAATAGGTTCCGGAGGATCACATGCTGAAGCACAATTCGAGATGAAAATGTTAAATCTAATAGAATGTTCAGAAAGAATGCGTCTTGTATCTAAGTTTTAGATTGCTGATTAAAACAATAACTTAACGGCTACATCTGAAGTGTCTTGTAGAAAATATTTTAACATTCATACTATTGTTTGTACATGTTGTATCAAGTAAAACTTTGAAAATTTCCCACTCAAATTGTAAAAATTCAAGATATAAGTTGTCCATCAAACTAAAGTTTATAAAGGAACATTAAAATGATTAACGATGCAACACTATCTGAAGTAAGTTTTACGCTTGCATTGCGTTTGTATTTTTAATTCAATTTGTAAGTTAAAATTGTACTTGAATTTTATCATTTTAACCATGCAAGTACCGAAGTACATAACAATTACTGAAACTTTATAAGATATAAGAACTTACCAATTCTTTGACAGACACTATTGATACTGACTGGTGTAGCCCATGTACCATTGTCAAAACAATGAAGAACAATGCTCTCTGTTGTAAGGTAATTATCAATACAAACTAATTTTGCTGATCTTTCATTCACATTCCAATATCCATGAGTAAAATTTGATATTTCATCACATGCTAGAAAATAGGATTAAATCAGCAATACAAACTAGACATCAAACGACATGCAAATTGTACAACATTAAAGGGAAAAGGATAGAAAAAGTAGGTATCATTACCTACAATGTGTCTTATATGTGTCCAATGAATTATTAGCTTATTAATAATTTGTAAAATTCATTAACAATACTGCTTAACTCATCAGGGTAAAGTTATTATTAGATAATTTAATTTGCTGTTTTTAAAAATGCCAGGACGGTTCTTATTTTCTCAACATTTTTTTTCTGGAATTCTGAAATCTATGTCCCTAGGCCTTTCTAATATGCACAGCTTAACATATATTTCTCTTTTACTTAACTTAAACTTTTACATGTATGTTTATGACATGCCACTGACCATCAAACCATTTGGCCATCTTGTTGAAAGACTTGTCTCAAGAAACATTAATAATGTTTGATTACGTTTTATGGCACTGACCATCAAACCATTTGGCCATCTTGTTAAAAGGCTTGTCTAAAGAAACATTAATAATGTTTGATTACGTTTTATGGCACTGACCATCAAACCATTTGACCATCTTGTTAAAAGGATTGTCAAAAGAAACATTAATAATGTTTGCTTACGTTTTATGGCACTGACCATCAAACCATTTGGCCATCTTGTTAAAAGACTTGTCTCAAGAAACATTTATAATTTTTGATAACGTTTCATAGCACTGACCATCAAACCATTTGGCCATCTTGTTAAAAGACATAACTAAAGAAACATGAATAATGTTTGATTACGCTCCATGGCACTGACCATCAAAACATTTGGCTATCTTGTAAAAGGACTTGTCTCAAGAAACATTAATAATGTTTGCTTACGTTTCATGATACTGATCATCAAACCATTTGGCCATCTTGTTAAAAGACTTGTCTCGAGAAACATTAATAATGTTTGATTACGTTTTATGGCACTGACCATCAAACCATTTGGCCATCTTGTTAAAAGGCTTGTCTCAAGAAACATTAATAATGTTTGATTACGTTTTATGGCACTGACCATCAAACCATTTTGCCATCTTGTTAAAAGGCTTGTCTAAAGAAACATTAATAATGTTTGCTTACGTTTCATGATACTGATCATCAAACCATTTGGCCATCTTGTTGAAAGACTTGTCTCAAGAAACATTAATATGTTTACTTACGTTTGAGCTCACATGTAGTGTTTATAACACTCCATTGACCATCATCAGAACACATAATTAAAGTTTGACCATTTGATATATAGTTCTCATTACACAGAAGATTAGCTGACTTCCCTGTGAAATTCCAGTAGCCTTCAGTGATGTTTCCAGGCTCGCCACAAGCTGAATATTAAATAAATAAAAGAGAGATAAGTCAAACTATAAAACAATTCATCAAAACACAACATTAAAAACTGAATATCTACTGATCATTATATGACATTCAATTTTGAAAAGCCATTGATACAGACAGAAAATATTAAATCATAATTTTTTTCACAGAAGCGAATAAGTGTTTAATTGGATATAAAAGCAAGAAGATGTGGTATGATTGTCAGTGAGAAAACTTTTCAACAAGCGACCAAAGGACGAAGACGTTAGCAACAATAGGTAATAACTTGATGTAGCATGAGTAAAATCGTGAGTACCACTAGTAGCATATGTAGTAATAAACCTTCTGAAGCACCACAAGATAGTTAATTTCGTTTATAGTGGAGTCTGTTTTCATTTTGGTCTAGTTTCCTCTATTCTTTAATGTTATTAATATTTTAACGTATATATGTTTTATCCTTTGGTCATAGCCTTGCCTTAATGTAAAGATTGTTTGTTTGGTCACAGGTTTGCCTGAATGAATAGCTTGTTTCCTTTGGTCATAGATTTGCCTGAATGACAAGTTTGTTTCTTTTGGTCATAGCTTTGCCTCAATGTTAATGTTTTGATTCTTTTGGTCATAACTTTGACTCGATATAAATTTGGTTTCCTTTAGTCATAATTTTGCCTTAATGTAATGTTTATTTTCAGGTTCTCTTTTTCTGTTTGTTTATATATATATATATGTTAGACTCAGATCGACGTCCGGTCTCTAATCGACTTCCGTTCCTCTAATCGACGTCCAGTGTGACGTTACGTTCTCAAATCCGTGTCCAATATTTTTACCCTCTAGTCGACATCGAATGTGACGTCATGTATTACCAAAACGACGTCCGATCGATCGGAGTCTCCTCTCATCGATGTCCAATATCATTCAATCGTTTATTTTTAGTTTAATTTTTGTTTATATTATCTGTATAGTTTTGTCTTGGTGTACAGCTACTTAAAGAAACTAATTGTACATGTTTTCTTATATCTTTATCAAAATAAAAGGACAAACACCAGAAAATGATAATAAGACAACCACCGACAGCATATTACATGTACATGCACATTTTAAATTTTTGGTGAAAGGAGTCCTAGCGATCTACGTCGTTGTATTCCTTTCATATTCTTATAAATGTGGATATACGACAAGGTGACAACAATCCAACAACGAAGATAATCGAGTGACATGTAGAGGGCAATATACACTGTCTTAACAATAGATTGAATTAAAAAGTACTGCCAGTTGTTGAAAAGTATTATCATTTGGACTCTGTAAGATTTTTTAAAAATCTTATATTTTTCAACAACTTTTTGAGTTTTTGGTTTAACCCACCAATTAATAAAGTTGTGATGTCATTGAGGCAAGTCCGCAAAAAGGACGTCGATTAGGGAAGCCAAAATGTGGACGTCGATTTGATAACAAGAAGAAAGACGTCGATTAGAGGGGCATATAATTGGCCGTCGATTTGGAATCATATTTCATTATGACGTCAAATTTGGACGTCGATTTGAGGAACGGACGTCGATTAGAGACCGGACGTCGATCTGAGTCTTACATATATATATATCAAACCTATGATTGCGTTGGATAAAAACCGCAATTTCTATACGTGTGCATGTAAAACAAATTTCTTGGTAGAGGGGTCTAAATACAGCACAAACAACATTTTCCAAAAGACCAAAAAAAAGTGAAAAAGTATATTTTAACAAAAAGCATTTGACTAACAGGTCGAACAACTGATGTTCTTAAACCCTGCTGACTGCCATTGGCGATTGCCAAATAAATTGATCACCAGATGTAAAAAATGGACCTTATATATTAATCTAATACCAAACAGAAAACAATAAACTTGCGGAAAAGATGGTATACCGCAAACATGAGGTGCAAAAATTTGTACACCATATCCGGATTTCGACAATTAATGTCTCTTCAGTGATGTTAGGGATCGAAACGGTATTTGGAAGGCCATATAATTTACCTCAATTTAGGATAGACTCTTATATATATATATTTCGTTTGTTGTGACTGTTTTTGTCGTAACAATAAAAATGACATTGCTGGACATAAACTGAATTTATAATATGGTCATGATAATTAATGACTAACATATAAAACAGCTCTGTCTATTTTGAAAGATGGACGAAAGATACCAGAGGGACAGTCAAACTCATAGATCGAAAACAAACTGACAACGTCATGGCCAAAAATAAAAAGACAAACAGACAAATAATAGTACAGATGACACAACATAGAAAACTAAAGACTAAGCAACACGAACCCCACCAAAAACTGGGGGTGATCTCAGGTGCTCCGGAAGGGTAAGCAGATCCTGCTCCACATGTGGCACCCGTCGAGTTGCTTATGTTATTACAAATCCGGTAAATAGTCTAATTCGGTAAGTCACATTCGTGAAAAGGGAAGGGTATTGTAGTTACGACATAAGGAACATATCCGATATCATCTGTGAAACGGTTATTCCATAACGGTCAACCAACTCGTGATGGCGTCCGTAAAATTTACGAAGGGATGACTTCAACTTCACCATTTGGAACTCTTGGTTTAATAGCTTCCTTGTGAGCAGCAATTCTCTATCAAGGAAATCATGATAGGAAACACAAGCCCGAGAATATCGTATCAATTGGGAGATATATACTCCGTATGCAGGCGCTGCTGGAATGTTGCTACATAGAAATGGAAAGTTCACAATTGGGAAGCTGAAATCATCTCTTTTGTCGTAAAGTTTTGTTTTCAACCGACCCTCATTGTCAATTTCTAGATGTAAGTCAAGATATGAGGCAGACTTAACTGTATCTGTAGTATCCTTTATCTCTAGTTCGATGGGATAGATTCGTTCAACATAGTCACCAAATTTTGTATTATTTAGTGAGAGAACATCATCTATATAGCGGAACGTAGAGTTAAAAGATATTGCTAACTTCTTATCTCTCTTCCTAAGAAGCTCCTGTATGAAGTCAGCCTCATAATAATAAAGAAACAAGTCGGCAAGAAGAGGGGCACAATTGGTTCCCATTGGAATTCCGACATTGGAATTGAAAGTCATTCTCTCATTTGTTTCCTCATATATATATATTTCAAGTATTCAAAAACTGTTGGAAAGGAATTATTAAAGAAGATGTCAAATATGAGACCAGTAAAACAAATCAACATGGCAACATGTTCGTATTTATGTTTATAAACCTGGTAGAGCTACTTCAGCCATAACTTCGATTTCGTCTGTCATGATTCTAGTCGATTCTGCCAAACTGGTGTCATCTGTTGTACAGAAGTCAAATCTACAGGCCTGATCATCGCCACATACATAGGCAACATTACCCGGACATTGGTCAGTAACGTTAAATACAGGTTTGAAGTCGACGTGTTGGAATGATTGGTGCGTTTTGCCCACAGGGTATGTAAACAATGAATCCGAAGCATTTATCTGCCCTATAAACATTGAAATAATAATATAAATGACAATGTCATACGCTATGGTGACAAAAAAAAATTTTTTTTAATAAAAAAATAAACAAATGTGTTAAATGTATTGAAAAGATGAGGAATAATTAAAACGGATACCATTTACAACTTATTTATACTTTTTAAAGATGGAAACGGGTTGATGTTGTTATACTACTGTCCCAGCTATAAACAAGAAAACCGCATTAAATCATGCGGATGTCCTATCCAATAACTAATGGTTACATACCTTTTGTTTTTCTCTCTCTCTCCGTCCTTCAACTAATTTAGCCCAATTAAATGACATTTACAATTTCAAAGTGCAGTATGGTTTACAAATATCTATATTTTGAATTTGATTGTACTCAGTACTTTTTTAATGTACCTGGTTTTTTTGTGTATTTATTAAAAAGTTGTTACTGCTTGATTTTTTATGCTTGGTTGGAATAACCTTTCACTGAACCTGGTTTCCGTAAGCTCCCGGGCACCGTATGATGTGAGTATACATTGTATTATAATCGTTGACAGAATCACTCGTCATGGCTCGGTTTTCTATATTATTGTACATTTATTGTAACATAGATCAGTTCGCTCTAATATACACCTACTGTTACCTTATACAGTTATTTGCCATTACAATCTGATATACCTATCAATAGATTTTGTCAGCTCAGAAATTTTACGATTCACCTACATGTCAATCCAAATTTATGATGAATTATATCTAAAGATGAGTTTATGGGTATGATTCTGTCATAAGCATTTGTTAAATCATCGTTCTGTTTTCCATTAAAGTTACCCAACAATCCTTTGACAAAGCCTGTAAATAAGATAAAAAAGTACAGATCTTAAGGAAACATTGTTGCTGTATCACAGTCAACATGAAGCAATAGTTGTTGATCGGATCTTGAATAACCATACTGTAATTTTACTCTTTATCGTCGGTATATTACTTCTTTATAAACCTTACAGATATATTACTTCTATACAACCCTTGCCGATATATTATTTTTTAGATATATTATTATAGATAAGATACATCATTGAAGGTAGGTAGTTCAGTGTTGTGGCATATCATTTTGAAAATAACAAAACAACAAAAACAAAAATGTTGATCCGTGTTTGAAGTACTCGGCCCCTAAGGTACACAACTTATTTTTCTTAAAACATATTACCAGTATATCTTTCAGAAGAATTCGAATGAATTATCCCTAATCCGAATAAGAAAAAAGTCGATGTAATTATACAATTTGAATAAAAAATATTACCTCGTAAAGAATTTCCTGCTATCACGATATTGATATTAATCATTTTAGCCATAGCTGTCACATTAACTGCTATATTCGGATATCTGCATGTAACTGATGTCCAGATACTTTCTATATTAGTATCATTGCCTCTTGAATTTATTATCGTTGCACCTAATTAAACGAAACTATAGGTAAAACAATGTATTTTCATAACGGCGAAAGTCAATCATTTCAAAGTGAGTATTAAAGTTTGTGATATCTAAATCTAAGTTTATTAAAATTCAAAAGAAATTCAAAAGTATCTTAGAATAAATCCCGGAAGTCTGTGATTCAGTTAACCTTACATGTATTTACTAGTATACTAGAAAAGGGGACACATAACCCATATCTCCTTAAACACAACAGCTCAAGCCACTACTAAAAGTAACCACCATTAAATGGGAATGTTGCTACTTAGAAATGGAAATTTCAAAATGGTGAAACTGAAAATATCTCTTTTGTCGTAAAGTTTTGTTCTCAAACGACATAGTAAATGTCCATTTATTAACGTATGATTTAATTTACTAAATCTATTAACATAGTACAACATTTTACGGGAAAACTATTGAAACATAGGATTTCTGGCATTTTCTGATTTACTTTTAAATCTGTCAATAGTGCTAGTAATATAGAGTACACAACTATTAATGGTAACTATTGAAACTACTAAACAAGTATTAGTTGATTTTAGTCTCTGATGCATGATTTTTTTATTATTAATTGTTTTTGGCTTTTAACTAGCTGTCAGTAACTGCGACTCAAATCGTACTTTCTTGTTTATTTGACCTGTTGATACTAATTGTAATGCTTTTTTTGTTATTTAATGTTTACTTATTCAGGGTTATATCTGGTCTATATACCAGCTTTGATAAGTGTTTGGTATTACTATAAATTTTCACTTCTTCGTACAATGAACATCAAAATTATTTATTTTGTAAAAATATTTCCTTTATCCGTTTGAAAACTTTTAGGAATTTTTGGTCCTCAATGTTCTTCAACTTCGTACTTATTTGGCCTTTTTAACTTTTTTTGATTCGAGCGTCACTGATGAGTCTTTTGTAGACGAATCGCGCGTCTGGCGCAAATACAAAATTTCAATCCTGGTATCTATGATGAGTTTATTTATTGAACTGTACATTTATACCTAACAACAAAATTATTTTCATTTACCTGTGTTTAAAGTAATTGCAAATGGCTGATATTTTTGTTCAAGCATATTGTTTTTCTTTAATTTTTTAACATTTCACAGCGGTATAACATGTTACTTTAATTAACCTTAGTTTATTTATTTTGTATTTACATTGTATAATAGATCAAATTTATTTGTTCAGTGTATATTCACTGGTGTTAATATGTCTTTTGATTGAGTTAAGCCATTTCAATTGATATTTTATAGTGTGTCTTTCTATGTTGCGAAGTTACACTATTGTTTCAGATAAGGGTGAAGGTTTGGTACCATTAAAACGTTTAAACCCGCTGCAATTGTTTGCACCTGTACTAAGTCAGGAATTTGATGTTCAGTAGTTGTCGTTTGTTGATGTGGTTCATAAGTGTTTCTCGTTTCTCGTTTTTTATATAGATTAGACCGTTGGTTTTTCCGTTTGAATGGCTTTACACTAGTAATTTTTGGGACCCTTTATAGCTTGCTGTTCGGTGTGAGCCAAGGCTCCGTGTTGAAGACCGTACTTTGACCTATAATGGTTTATTTTTATAAATTTTGACTTGGATGGAGAGTTGTCTCATTGGCACTCATACCACATCTTCTTATATCTATTAATTAGGCAACAGGTTCGCCATTAAAAACAACTACACGTATAGCAAACAGACAAAGGATGACGCCATGAAAACAAAGTGAAATGGTGAATATTTGTTTACCATTGACATCTACAGTGTTAGTATTCATGAATTCTAGTAACTGTCCATTAATAAGTACGTCACACATTCTGATTTCATTCAATCTCATTTCCACAATATCAGAGTCATTGTTACAACGTAACGCTACCGAGGTTATAACACTAGCTTGCTTTAAGTTACCTACAAAAACAAACATTTACGTCAGACATCAAACTAACATGCAGCTTCAGATATCAAATAAACGTGTAACTTCAGGTACCAAATAAATATGTAACTTCAGATATCAAATGAACATGTAACTTCATATATTATACAAACATTTTCGTCAGAAATCTAACTAACATGTAACTTCAGATATCAAATAAACGTGTAACTTCAGATATCAAATAAAGTAAACATGTAACTTCAGTTATCAAATAAATATGTAACTTCAGATATCAAATAAACATGTAACTTCAGATATCAAATAAACATGTAACTTCAGATATCAAATAAACATGTAACTTCAGATATCAAATAAACATGTAACTTCAGATATCAAATAAACATGTAACTTCAAATATCAAATAAACGTGTAACTTCAGATATCAAATAAAGTAAACATGTATCTTCAGTTATCAAACAAACGTGTAACTTCAAATATCAAACTAATAAGTAACTTCAGATATCAAACAAACATGTAACTTCAGATATCAAACTAACATGTAACTTCAGATATCAAACAAACATGTAACTTCAGATATTAAACTAACATGTAACTTCAGATAGCAAACAAACATGTAACTTCAGATATTAAACTAACATGTAACTTCAGATATCAAACTAATATGTAACTTCAGATATCAAACAAACATGTAACTTCAGATATTAAACTAACATGTAACTTCAGATATCAAACTAATATGTAACTTTATTGAAGATATTTGAGTTTTACTTTTTTACACCCCGCCATTGTGTTATTGTGCTATTGTCATTTTTTGTATTCTTGTCTTTCATTTTTGCTTATGTGCTTTGTCTATATGCCATTTTGTTTTTCTTTGATGACATATTTGTTTGTTTTTATTTTGATTAAGATTATAACACAATGTTGACTGCTGTACCCCTATTTTTGACATTTTTACCTATTATGTCTGTTTTTTTGTTTGTTCACATATTGTTGGCAATATAATGGAATTTTATGCGACTGTCATACGAGTGAGAGGTTTAGCTAGCTATAAAACCAGGTTTAATCCACCATTTTCTACATAAGGAAATGCCTATACCAAGTCAGGAATATGACAGTTTATTTCCATTCTTTTGATGTGTTTGAGCTTTTGATTTAGCCATTTGATAAGGGGCTTTCCGTTTTGAATTTTCCTTGGAGTTAGGTATTTTTGTTATCTTACTTTTTATGTACCGATGCGCTTATTTCTTTGATATACTATTTATTTTTACTAGACTTTGGAAAAGTGATTTCTTCTATTGGTTTTAACTAAATATTTGCATATATTGTCCTATTTTTCAGCAACCAATGAAGATAACAGAAAACGAGTATTTCGATTGATGAATGTTTTAATAGACATAACCTAAATCATTGTAATTCTGTGTCTGTCACCATTTCATTTATTCAAAAAGCATAAAGAGACATAGGATACATCATTCGCGGACGGTTCTTGGTGTATAATTGTAATCAAGGGGTATCTCGTAAAATGCCATTCCCCTATCATATTTCCTTCATTAAAGTCTTGAATATAGCATATACAATAAGACGACAGTACTTTACCGATGTTCGAATCTCGTTAATCGATTAGGAAGAGACATATCAAGGTAACAAACAGAAATCGAGGGAAATGTATGAACTCCAAAAAGGAGCGAGATTGACTGCGTTGGCAGGGTATTCGTCTTTAACTATATGTATAAGTGCATCACCAGTCATGCGAAATCTCACTCGGTCAAAATATCAAGATTGTAAATAGGAAACAATTGGTAAAATTACAGATAAGACGACTATACTGGTAGATCTAAGACCGCGGAAACATGTCGTTGGTGAGTTGATACACCGACACATCGTATCGGTTAACCAATTCGATTTTAGTCATTCTTCCTTATAATACTGTTAGATCAGTTTTTGCGTAAGTAGCACACCCTTGATAATGAAATCCGTATAGTGTGAACATGCACGAGCGTAACTTATTAACTGAGATATGTAAACACATTAATGTTTCTACTGAAAAAATTGAAAAATGAAAATTGGAAAGTCGAAATCATCTTGCTTGAAGTCGTCCATCTGTATCAATATCGAGGAAAAGATCAAGATTTTTAGCAGACCTTCTACTTTTGATAATATCCATAATTTCATGTTGACTTGATAAAATAAGCACTCATTGTAATATGGGTTATTGACTGACAGAACATTATGAATATATCTGAAAGTAAAATTAAAGAACTTTGCAAGAAGATTTGTCTTTTTGTCTTTTAGAAGTTTTGTAGGAATTCTGCTTCATATGAGCACAACAAAAAGTCGCCGAGTAGTGGTGCACAATTAGTACCCAGTGGATTGCCGACTGTCTGCTGAAATATCATTCTACCATGCACAACAAATACGTAGTTATCAAAAAGCGGTGTGTTATTGGTCTAATGAAATCTTTTGGTACTTAAACACCACTTACAAGCGAAAAGAATGAATTGTCCAAATAATCCTCTGTATCTTGACTACTTTAAAATGATGCTAATAAACCATTAAAACTTATTATTTATGACGTACCATGTTTGTCTTTAAATTGTTCCATTCTTGCCTGTAATATTAGATGATTATCTTTGCTTTGTATCATGGTGAATTCTCCTACGCCATTGAATGTATAGTCCAAACCATCTAATGTTACAAGGTGAGGATCACCCCTGGATGATGCTTGTAAAAACAAAGATTCATTAGTCTACATGATAGTCTCCAAAAACATGGTTGATCTATCAATTCTGCTTGGAATGAGGACCACAGCCTAAACTAGTATATCGACTGAAAGACAGAATGACGACAGATGCCAAGTATGGTGACGTTAAATAATCTTAACTTAATGAAATGAACACCGTAAAAACCAAACATAATTTATTACTAATTTACAGCTTTTACAAACATCCTTAACGTCAGAAATGGTGTTATAAACACCCAATGCTGAAGTAGGTAGGTGGAAAATGACTACCTTTAATCTTAAAGAGGAAAAAAAAGTCGATAACAAACTGACAACGCCATGGCAAAAAACGAAAAACGACCAAAAGAAAAACAACATAGAAAACTAAAGATTGAGCAAGTGTAATGCCACCAAAAACCTGGGGTGATATCAGGTGATCCGGTTGGGTAAGCAGACACTGCTTCACAAAAAAATATATATAAATAAGTTTCTTAATATAAATCAATATCTTTTTAAAAAAAAAATTAAATACTTGAATCTGTTCGATTTAACTAATTTTGTAATGATTTGATATGAATTCAAACAACTATTAGTAAAATGTGAAACAACGAGATTGTTCAAGGAGAACAAAAAACTCTAATCTACCACAAATTATAATAAAACAGACAAAACCCTCTATCGTTTAAAACTGTTAAATGTTCAAAACAATTATCACATTGGTTGCAATATAAACCGATAATTCCACATGTGAAATAGATCCGATAATTTCACTCCTCTGAAGTCATACAAACATTTGTGTTGTCAAGATATTGTCGATCAAGTTGCATCAAAATACGCATAAAAAAATATATAATTCCATGCTTTTTCTACTTTATTTCCATTACATAGTCCATGGTCAATGTAATGAAGAAGAAAAAACTAATCTAAAAATTCCAATATCGACTAATAGTCAACTCGTGATCGAACAACGCTGATGATTATCTCTTTTTTTGCACTTTGCGCATTCGTGAACTAATGTATTGTTCGGTAACTCAATGAATATGTACATATTCACGTCAAAAACGTCAGTTAGCTTTATTTATCTCAATTTATAAATTAAGGCGACAGTAGTTTATGGATGTTCAAATCTCGTCAATCGATTAAGAAGAGAAAATCAAGGTAAAAAACAAAATCATCTGAGGGAATCGCACACACTATAATAGAGCTATACAAGGTACGTCGACAGGTTTATGCATACATCACCCACCATGCCAATTTAAAATGTCACAATCGGTAAAATTGAAGATCAAAGACCGCAAATAAAACAGTTGAAATTAATAATAACAAATACCCTTCCTATATACTAAGTAATTGATTGCACAATAAGGAGGGAAACGTATTTAGAAATATTTATCGGCATCAAGATGACATAGACTGCCGGAAATCTCAAAAGGCAAAATTTCAACAATTTCAACAATTCTTATATTGAGTTTAAGTCATATGAAACGAGTTCCTTGTAATTATAATGATATGGAAATTATGGAAACAATGCATGCATACATACTAATTAACTCATTCAACACAGAATCATGGGCCACGTGCATATTAAGTGAGATGATAGAGCGATATTTTTTTATGTGCTCGATGCGTTCACATTTGATTATAAAACTTTATCGAAACAGTATTTACAGGATTTGGTGTATTAAAATTTTTCTTTTAGAATCGGTTCATACGATCTTAGATCCACGTTTGTTTACTTTATCATCCATGATGTTTTTCCTTTTGCGCTTCTATAGTGCGATGGCTGTATTTCTTGCGAAAGGTGTCATCGTTAATGTCACTGCATACGGATAAGCTGTTGGTGATTAAATTACGTGAAGACAATAATTCAAAGCAGTGTATTTCTGAAGATTTTGTTAAAATAAAGGATTTTCTTACAAAAGAAAGTATATGTAATAAAATTGAGAATGGAAATGGGGAATGTGTCAAAGAGACAACAACCCGACCAAAGAGCAGAAAACAGCCGAAGGCCACCAATGGGTTTTCAACACAGCGAGAAAATCCCGCACACAGAGGCGGGTTTCAGCTGGCACCTAAACAAAAATGTGTACTAGTTCAATGAAAATGGTCGACACACTAAACCCCAAAACATAAATGAACTAAAATTAAAAAAACATACAAGACTTACAAAGGCCAGAGGCTCCTGACTTGGGACATACGCAAAAATACGGCGGGGTTAAACATGTTTTGTGAGATCTCAACCCTCCCCTTATACCTCTAGTACGTGTTTTATAGTAAAGTTTAGCCATTCAAGTATATGAAACATATTAATCTTTGAGTAACACCTGAAAGATCATATGACTTTTAATAGAATTTGTCAACTATTATCAATTAAAATAATTTCATTTATTTATTTATTGACCACGGGAAAATCCCGGATTACATACATACACCTTTATAAACCTATTAATCTATAAATTATAATTTATATTTCCATGTTCTTCATTGGTATAACATGATATAAGACTTATTTACTAGTATTCTGTTGCTATTTGAGTTTGCTAAGATTGAAATGAAGTTTGAAAGCTGGTGGTTATTGATACCTCATTCCCACTTGCACAAAAAGAGACTGGCAATTCCAAATGCACTTGCATATGATGTATATCTATCTCTTAGTTATAACGATATTCCATTTACGATTGCTGCTAAAACCTTAAATGACCTTCTTTTGTATAATTTTCATACTCTATAAATCCGAGGTAAAATTCAAATATTCCAAAAAAGAAGTTTTAAAACAAAAAACTAATTAAGGGGATATAAAAACCTTTCAGTGGATAAAACTGTTAACTAGATAATAAAGATATGTTTTCCCAATTCTTTGGGAGTTGCATGATTTTCCTCAATCTTTAAATTTTTTGTGAAGTGATTTGTAGACCGCTGTTTGAAATTACGTCATTTTTCTATTGACCGTGTTGTTGTCTGTTCGAACTGAAGATTAAACCTCGCTACAAAAAAAATTCTGAAAAGAGAATCAGTGCACCGGATGAACAAGTAGCACCCGCCTTGTTCCTTATATCATGTATAAATCCGGTAATGAGTCGTAATTAAACAAGGGCTGTCATTGTGGCAGTAACAGAAAATATCGTGCCACTAATAAGCACGACTTGATGAACATCAACACCACGTATGCAATGTTTTTCGATTGTTCCACTTTCTGTTCAAGAACCCATGTTACTATAGAATATGTCCGATCTACTCCCATTTTGTGCAATTAACACGAACCGTATGGATGAAGTCTCCACCTTTTAAATAAGTAAATCTATATCCTGAAAACTTAACAAAAAATTTGCTTACCTGCTCTTGGCGGAATGTACCCCGAACAGCGTGATGGTGGTCTTCTCCTTAGGAATCTTTGACAAGAATCTAAGTCTAGGTTGTAATGTGCCGGATATTGACAGCAATACATATACGGTACTACATCGTCATAAATATTAGACAGGTAAGGGATGTTATCTTCTGCACCTCCTTTGTAGTGATATCTATTTGCCGTTCCACCAAAGGTCTTAGCATTAGTCTCTATAAGATTCCCGTCACTGTTATAACAGCACTGGTTATCATGTCCCATGTTTCTGAAATGTGATCATTACGTTTTTGCTGCTATTATAAAAAATGATGTGTTATGATTACCAATGAGACAACTCTCCACCAGAGACCAACTGACATAGAAATTAACAACTATAGGTCACCGTACGGTCTTCAACAATGAGCAAAACCCATACCGCATAGTCAGCTTCAAACGGCCCCGAAATGACAAATGTAAAACAATTCAAACGAGAAAACTAACGGCCTGATTTATGTACCAAACAATGAACGAAAAACAAATATGATATACATCAACAAACAAAAACCACTGATTTGCAGGCTCCTGATTTGGGACAGGCACATACAGAATGTGGTGGGGTATATATGAATTCCTTTGTGATACATTTGTAATACAAGTAGAAAAAATTGGGCAAAGAAATGATATCCCCTGAAAGCAGAAAATTTGAATGATTTGAAATGTTCTCTGCATTTGTTTTATCGATAACAAATCCCATAAAACCTTTCAAGTAGAAACTATTAAATATTATAATGAAATCAATACTAATAATGACACAATTAGTGATAAAAACTGAATCATTAAAAGTTAATAGTAAGTGAATATATCAGTTGCGTATATACCGAACAAAGGATACTACAACGTCAAGTTTGCTTCCCATTTACTAACATCGCAATAGGGGCGGTTGATAAATAAACTTTACAAGTTGATTTGAATTTTGTGAAGTTTCATCCCCGACCAGCAGCACATATATATGGAGTAAAAAATCCCATTTGGTACGATATTTTTTCGAAGGGATGACTTAAACTTCCACATAAAGAATCATTGATTCAGTAGTTTAGGTTCTATAGTTGAGTTCACCTGACTCACATTGTCAATTTTACTTCATGCATACATTTGATTCCTTGTCCTGACTATATTTCATGTCCTTATCGGTTATATAAGCTCTTCAACGTTTATATTAGGTTTCGGATTTACAAATCTTGTGAATGGGACATCCGTCACGTGATATAATGTTTCGAAATTTACATCTGGTGCAAAATGTCTTGTAATGTTTCTATTTGTGTGCTCTATTTTTATATTGTCTGATTTCGATGACCACAGTTGGTTACTCTTCTATATGTTGTTTGTAGAATGCAAAGTGACCAAAGAAAGACGCCAACTAGTCCAATTATATAATCCATTTTGATGATATAAAATAAAGTTAAAATAACCTCAAATCGTTTTGTGTTAGTATAGGACGACAAAGCAGCCAATAATGTGGTAGAGGTATGACTTAGAGATGTCCGTATTTAAGGTCGCCTCTGTACATTAGCAGGGCCCTACCATGTACTTGTTGACAAGTCTCTTTTATACAAGTCGTATTTTGTGCCATAAATGCGGGTGACGAGTAAAATAAATTAAGATGGGGAATTGGTTCACGAAAACGTTTCTACAGATTCATGAATTTAAATAGGATTATCATTGACATAAAAAACTATGTCGCCAAAATCTTTGCAAGTTACACACGAAGTACCAATTGTCATAAAAGCCGGAGTTGATACAAAACTTTATTTGCATACAAAGGGAAAGAATCCACATTTGTTTTCATTTTCCTCTTTCTTTTACTTACCCAGGAAACGCCATTCGCAAACATTGTAAAGCTCCTACATGGTAGATACAGTTAATACTAGTATCATTATCAATATTATGGTCTAGTGTGTTGCAATGAGGATCAGGATTAAATCTAGATATGTCCAGTCTAGCCTGTGCTATAGTACATGGACATGTGTCGATTTGGTTTCTCTCCAGGGAACGATGTTTCTCTTCCCGATCATCCCAGGCATAACAAGCAGATAAAAGAGATTTTGCGTCTGGTGGCAACATAACAAACACATCCGACCATCCAGAAGGTAACAAGCTAAATGTAAGGGAAAAAAACAGAAATAGCACTGTATCAACAACATTTTTGAGGAAGAAAAATTATGTAGATGGTTTCTACACTTAAATGTATCTTCCATGGAACACACTGTCTATGTTTCTTGTTTGATGTCGGAACCATAAAAATATGTAAAATTAAAATAAAAAATCCTGAGAAAATGTACTTTGCGCAATGTACAATATCGTGTACAATATGCCTGCAAGTAACCAATATCAGCATGATTAGTACAAGTAACCAATATCAGCATGATTAGTACAAGTAACTTGTAATTTGTTTCTTTTTATGGTCGCTGTAGTCTGTTAAACCAGTTATAGAAATAAGTGTTGTTACGCAAATGTTTTTATGTGATTTTTTATTTGATTCCTGTAATTGAGATTCATAAGAGCGAGTGGTGAGTGCATAAACAATTAGTTTTACTCTGTCACATGTCGACATTCTGAGTCTGGAAACTTGTCATTGGTTGGCTCCCCTGCAATGTGTTATGTCTTTTACGGAATTTAATGTTAATGGGAAATCTTTGATAATGTATATGAATGTTTATCCGCATCTTCTCCTGACTAAAGGATTTAAAACTTGAAGTATTTTACAGGCACTTATTTACTGATAAAAAACTGTGTATGCCATAGTCATTGTGAAGTTCCTGGTTATTGACGTGGATTCATGTACTTCACTCACTCAAATTATTTTGTCAACTTACAATTTATCAAGGATTTATATAAAAGAAATGCTTTTTCAATCAGACGTATAAATGAAACTGATCAAAGATCTCAGGCTAACTACTCATTTATTTACCTAAAATAGTTTACCTAGAGTAATGTCAAAACGTATGCCTTTGTAGTGTGCATCTATTTACCTAGAATATTTAACCCCGCCGCATTTTTGCGCCTGTCCCAAGTCAGGAGCCTCTGGCCTTTGTTAGTCTTGTATCATTTTTAATTTTAGTTTCCTGTGTATAATTTGGAGTTTAGTATGACGTCCATTATCACTGAACTAGTATACATATTTGTTTAGGGGCCAGCTGAAGGACGCCTTCGGGTGCGGGAGTTTCTCGCTGCATTGAAGACCTATTGGTGGCCTTCGGCTGTTGTCTGCTCTATGGTCGGGTTGTTGTCTCTTTGACACATTCCCCATTTCCATTCTCAATTTTATTAAAATGTATGCCTTTGCTATGCACACCTACTAACTTAGTGTAGTGTTAAAACGTATGTCTTTACAGTGCGCATCTTCTTACTTTTAGAACAATAAAATCATCTTTGGTTGATTCATCAGCTTCTGAGTGAATGTAAAATCTGTTTGTATCTTCAAACCCTCATACAGTATCTTAAGTGTCTAAAGCATAGCTTGCTATCTGTTATACAATTGTGCTAATTTAAGGCACTTACGAAGTATCTTGGTTTGAATCCTCCGGTTCCGGATGAATACGTAATACAGCAGCCTGACCTGAACTCGGTAGTAGGAAAACATGTTTTGGTATTAACGGTAATTTTCGAGCAACATATGTCTCTCGATGCAATTGAAGAGTGTTGTTGATTTTCTAAATAAAAAGTTTCTTTTGTGCAAATATTCAAATGCTGTATAGTCTTTTTGATAAAATTATGTTTAACAATTAATCCTTTTAGTATTTCAATACATTTTGCTATTAGCTTAAGTATATGCTATGTGGTGTTGTTTTAACATTTCATTTCATGTTAAAACGTTTCAAGTGACTTCACCACGTTTCTAAACAGGGAGTGAGTTTCTGAAATTACGTCTTCACGTATCCTCGTGACTAAAAGTTGGGAGAGTAAAAAATATAAAGTGTTTGAGAGTATAGAAACCAACATTACTCAAACAAAACAACTAAATCTGCCTATGGTCAATTTTTTTCGGGGGGAGTTGCAAGGTTAGTTGGATCAATATTGAGTAATTTGAGTTCAAAGTAAAATGCAACGTATTGAGGAGGGTATTCAGCATTTTATTTCGATTCCTTGTCGTAACTATAGACTGTTTCATTCAACAGGACTTTAAAAAATTAAAGTCAAATTTGGTGTATCATGTAAATAAAGGCAACAGTAGTATACCGCTGTTCAATAGTCATAAATCCATTCAACTGAAACAAATCCGGGTCACAAACCAAAACCGAGGGAAACACATCAACTATAAGAGGAAAACAACGGAACAACAGAAACACTGAACTGCTACAAAACAAACTCCAACATACATAGAAACGGACTATTTGATAAAAACTGCCATATTCCTGACTTGGTACAGGACATTTTAAGAAAAATTGTGGGTTGAACCAGGTTTTATGGCTAGCCAAACCTCCCGCTTATATGGCAATGTTAAAAATACCGCTTAATGACAACATTACGTGACAGGAATACAGTACAAATAAACGCAGGAACACTCAGGACAGAGAAATACATAAATAAGTAATATAATAGTACATTACAACATGTAAACCTCCCATGTACACCACAATAGAATTATGAACTGTAAGTCACACGAAAGTATCAACGCCACAAAAAGTGACGTCATAGGTAAATAAAAAAAATAGAATATAAAGTTGGGATTAAGTTTGTAATGGTGTTATTTTATGTGTTTTCTACCCATTACAAGAATATTAATATAGAATTGTGTTAGTAATGGTGTAATTATTTGTATTTTCTAACCATGTCGGTTTTTCTTCTAAATCAAAACTGTGTAAAAACAAATTAATCCTGTGCATATAGTTGCTTTAAACTAAAAATCATATAAATGAACTAGCTGATTAATTATCTTAACTTTTACATACATATAATTTGATTAAAATAAAATTCAAACCACAAAAGATAAGACATAACACAATATCCGACCAGACTTACAAACGAAACATCATAACTAAATATATATGTATAAATACCGAGACACGTCTAATAGCAATGCGAATTCACACTCGGAAAACTGTTATAATCATGCAAAAAGACGGGTTGTATCTCGTTGACAACTCTTCTAGACTCAAGAACTAGTCCTCAACATATTGTGTAGATACTTATCTCGTACTGTACGTTGACCTCAAGATGTATTTTGTTTTGTTTTGTGTCATAAGTTTGCTGTATCGTTGATGAATACCCCAAATCATTATTCATAACTTTAACGGGATACTGATTTGAAGTTTTGCGGAGAGTTCGGGCTGAAGTTATGGTTTCAGGCGGGCAGCTTAAGCTGTTTACTTGCAATAACTTGAGAACTGTTCAGGTCGTTTCAGAGCAATACCTTGTTCAACCTATGATTTTAAAATATTTTGTTTCTCATGACAAATTTGAAATCAAGTTCGAAATCGACGATTTTCACACATGTCGTTCTTGGGTTATGGGTTATGGTCTGGATTAAATGGAAATGGCACCTATAGTCGTTCATTTGCAATGAATTATTAACCGCCCAATCAAGGGTTAAAAACTAATACTTTTCATGAAACAAATAATGGCCAATTTTGATATGGAAGATCTTCACTTTTATCGTTCGGGAGTTATGGTCCTTGAATAATTTGAATATTGCACTTAATTTCGATTCCGTGCGGTAACTATAGAATGCTTGATCCAATGCTTTTTACATTATTATATTATGTTTCTCATGCCTACAAAACATACAATCAGATTTCACCTGTAATTTATTCTTTTTGTTTATATTTTTAAAAAAGGACATAAAAATTGTCTTATACACTAAATTAACAAGTACTGTTTTTGAGAATGTTTGATATGTGCATAGTACGGGAAAACATGCTTTTATTTTTATGTTGAGGAGCACCACATATTGCTGAAATTCTTCCATAAATACATAAAGAATTAAATACTTATTTACAGTGAGAGTCAACAGTTCGATTGCAATTGAGTCTGCCTCAAATGGCAACTCTTCCCATTTTAACGTAACATTTTCACCAACTTTCCATTCTTCTGGTTTGATTCTATTTAGGTTTGGCTTCACGCTTGCTGGATTCACTGCACAAAATGAAACAGAAACGATATGTATTAGCCAGATGAAAGATCATTAAGACATATATTTGCCATATAACAGATATTAACAATACATACATATCACAGGTCATTGGAATAAATATTGGAAAAATTAGAATTCTGCTGCATTGTCATATTTTATAGAGAAAAAACGCCAGAGTTCTAAATAAAACACTGATTTTGTACAGAGACGGTAGTTGGAAAGGTAGGACGGGAAATTGAATTCATCAGCAAAGACGCCTTTCAGGAAAAGGTGGACTTGCAGAATCAAGAATCTATAATAAGAATGACTTGTCTATCAGAGTGAATCACAAAATCCTGGAGGTGATAGAAGTGGATGGCATGGTTTACATAAGTAAAATCCTCACAGTGACTGACCAAGGAGAAATGGTTTTGGTCTGTGCTTGTACTTGCTTCAACAAAGATGAGGAAACCCTTGAAGGAGGTTTCGTGGGACAAATTACTATCAAAAATACCGAACAAGGCAAATTCAAAAAGGGGGAAGTCCATAAAACCTGACGAAACCAAACGATAGACTATATCAACCAACGAAATGAATAGAAAATAACTTTCATATTCCTGACTTGGTATATGCCCTTTTCCGAAGAAAATGAGGGTTTAAACCTTGGTCTATAACTAGCTAAACCTCCCACTTGTATGACAGTTGTTAATAGATCCGTTATATTGACAAAATTAAATTAGCAACACAAACAGACCATAATTGGTTAATGCGACAATAATGGGGACCCAGCAGCCAAAACTGTTTAAATATACCGCATACACATACAACACAACTGACTTAAAAATTCAAACAAACTTACAAATCCAAGGCTCCGTGTTGAATTATGGGAGACAGGGTTAGAGGTATGATTTTAATTCTAGCAAAAACTGAATCGTATTTGCGTCAGGTTCAAGATCCATTACGAATTACATTAACGGTTCCAATTTTACTGCACCAGATGCACATTTCGACAAAACCTAATACAAACCTTGAAGAGCTGATTTAAC